GAGCTTTAAGATAAAGTATTGCGGGGCTCATAGGATTCGTCGCTGATATGAGCATGAAATCGAAAATGTTAAGATAAGTGAAGATATATTGACAAAAAAAAAAGACTTTTCCATACAAGTACTCATTTTCTAATCTGTTCTTTTTTCTATGTCAGCTATATAAAAAAGAGCTTAGTTCGAATGAACTCTGGCATGTGTTGCCTGCAATTAAAAGCTGGATCTATGCTAGGTTTCACGACGATAGATTTAAAACAGACAGACGGACATGGCTATATCTACTCAACTATGAATACTGGTCGTGAATGATATGCTTTCTAGATTCGCAAATACCTTCTATGCCTTACACGTATTGTGACGAAATAAAAAATACCTTTTGCGAGCGTATAAAAAGTAAAAATAGCTACTGTCTGAACTAGACCACTCACAAACGGAATGAACTGACATTTGCATTGGGTGGGCGGAGCGCGCCTACATTGTATGAATGAAAATCGGAAAATTCTAAGCAAATAACACTGCCAAAGAGACAAACAGAACAAATGTGTCCGCAAAATGAAAGCAAAACAAAGTTTGAGCCATGAAAATGGACTCGGTTTCAGGTTATTTGAGCGCTTGACCACATTGGATCTGCATGTGCGACTGTCTCCGTGTGTGTGCGGCGGGTCGTGTGTGTACGGGTTTGAGTGTGTGCGTTGTGTATGTGTGTGTGAGTGTCTGTTCAGTGAAATAAAAACGCAACAAAGCGCAATCATCATTATCGTTAAAAGAGGCGCTTACAAAACTAGACAAATTGCCACTTTAGAGGCCAGAGGCAAAAGCCAGAGGCTCCGAGGCAGCAGATTCAGCGGAAGTTGGCGGCAGCACGGCATTTGAACAACGGGCAAGGCTTCTGTAATGACCTCTGGGCAAATGCGGCAACAAAGAAACAGAAGCAGTTCGCACACACGCATACATGCGCTTAAAACCAAAATGGCGCACATTAGAGACCGCAGAACGCACAAGAGTATGCTAGAAAAGTGTGCGATGCCAGCAAACCAAAAACTGTGCAACTTGCCAAATGCCAACAACAAAACCAACCAGCAACAAGCTACATAAAATGCTCATAATCAACTGGACTCCGTGCCACAAAAGGCGAGTTTTGGCCTTAAGCAACAAAAAAAGAAAATAATAAAATAACAAAGCGAGATTTCAGCATGGAAAGTCAGCAAGTTGCGAGGCTTCTGCACGCTGATGGGACAGTTGGCTCATAAAAAAGGCATAGGCCAGCACTTTTAGGCTTAATTATAGACACGCACAACAACAACAAATACAACACACACGGCCCAAATGAGCGATTATGTGTCGAGCTTTGCCAAGGAATTCGTTTTTTTTTCTCCCTCTTCCATTTGTCCGGTCGCTGGTCAATTCACAGCCATCTAAACACTTGCGTAGAGCATTCATTAATTGCGACGATGTTACCGGCTTTTTATACACTTGGCGAGGGTATTTTAATTTTGTCATGAATTGTGTAAGGCACAGAAGGGCACAGCTCTGAACTTATAAAGCATAGAAAGATATAGATATCTCGGAATTGGCTGTATCGAAACTTTATATCAAATAGTTGCCATGCAATTAATCGCTCGAAAATTCAGTTCTTCTTAATACATTTTTTATATTTGAGGGCTTTTTGATCAGGACTGCTCTTACGATTCCTCCCATGCATTTATAGGAAAAACCTGTTTTGTCTAGTTCTATGTATCGAGATATCTTAGCTATTCACAAGCTTCACTATGCTGCTTACATACATAAAAATTTGATCAACATGGGACTTTTATCATATCGACAGAATTTGTCAAAAATTGGCTTGTATTGAAAATGGTTCTCTAAACATTTCTCTTATACATCTAGAAGACCGAATTACATAATATATCATACTTTTTCTACAGTGGAACATTTGAACAGCAATAAAGCGTTTGCATAAAAGCACTTCTAAGCTATATATGTGCAAGGGTATTTAATCTTCGGCGTGCCGTTTTTTTAATTGTTTTTTTGGCTTTCATTTTTTTCTTTTGTTCATGCAATGGCGACAGCAATTATTGTTACAATTAAAAAACCATTAGGCGTAATTTGGTTTTTTCTTTTTTGGTGTTGGCGGCAAAAACGGGACACGGCATTTCCGGCAAACGCAATGAAAACATTAACTTGACCAGAAATAGGAATCGATAAGCTCCGACTGCAGGCTTATTATAGTTTAACTATTTTGGTGCAATAGAACATTTAATATTTGACTTTTGATTAATTGCGGTCACAGCACAAAATGTTTGCGGCTACAACAGGAAAGTTCGTACTTATATTAAGCTTTTGGGCAACTGAAGATACAATGGAGATACACACAGAATAAGTTTTGCGTATTGCGGCAGAACAAAATTAAATTTAGCTAACAAAAACAATTTGACCAAAATTTCAAATTATAAAATTTAAATGCTAATTATAAAGAGCTACAGAGCTTAAAATATCTTATAAGCCTCTTCAGCAACATTATGTTCATAATAGTTATATCGTTTTATTGTAGCATTAAATACTAGTATCTGAGCTGATCAGCTCCAACAATTGTACTATCAGCATGGTAATAACTTGCTTAGCAAGTAACTAAAAAATAAAGAAAAAAATTAAAAGAATCATAAAATGTTTTCATTAAAAGACATAGAAACGATTTGACAGATCATTCCGACAACACTTTAAATACTTTAGGCAATCAGAGCAGTTATGCATCTAGACACATTTTTAAAATAGTCTCTAACAGTGCATAAAAATGCATTGTGAACATCAATAAACATACTTTTGTTGAAGTTGCAACAATTGAAATCGTTGTTTCACCTAAATCAAATATGCAGTAATAAGAAAGTAATTGCTTCATTCATTTAATGATCTGCAAATGTCTTTGTTGCCCCACTGAATGCCCAATAATTGAATGTGAAGTTATTATTATAAGTGGATAAGTCTTGGGCAATTTACCTACGACTCTACGACTCAAGTAGTTGACCGGAGAATGAGTACGTGGACATTCGCCTCGTTCATTATTATTTCTTTTGCATACCCTTACAAAGGGAATTCTGATTATGTCGCAAAATGTAAAATACTAAAATGGGTCTTTGCTTAGGTCCGTTTACATGTTCTACATTTCGCAGTCGGCCGGCTTGGTATTGTATTTCATGGGAAACTCAGTTGTTATAATGAATTTTGTTGTCTTGCAACTTCTGTCATTCAACATGCGTCTACTAAATCGTATTGTTCTATGGAAAGAATCGGTCGAAATGTGACTCTTGTGCAGGGAGAACTTTTTAAAGTATTTTGACAATACCTTGATCAATTACAATCTTCACTCTGTCTTTAACATATCAACCAAACTGTATTACAACTTATGGAGCATTATTTTTGCTAGTATTTTAAATAATGATCGGAAATAAAACGTTCGTATAGGGTCAACTATTTTCGAGAGTATTAAATCATCGACCTGCCGAATAAAATATTTCAGTTTTTTTTTTTTTTTTTTTTTTTTTTTTTTTTTTGAGGCTAAAAACCAGTTGCTTATTTATGCAAATAACTTTGTCCTATTATCGCACAATTACTACAATTTGACAAGAATTTAGAACAACTTTTTTGTTCGTTTCTTTTCTTTTTCGTACAGAATATTGGAATCGGCATTGTTTTTGTTGGCTGTAACCTGACATGCGATGGCCAAAAAGCGAAGCCGTTGATTGGCAGCTGTCGCTCGCACATGCAAAATGCGCGCCAAATTGCCCGCACCTGGAGCCCGCTGCTAAGCTCCAGCCTGGCCTGATTGCCGCTTCTGCTCCTGCTCCAACTGCCGGCTGGGTGTCAAAGGCGCTTAAATGCTTTGAGCATGCCGCGATAGTTGGTTGTTTTGGCTATTTTCTTGCTATTTTTTTTTTTTTTTTTTTTTTTTGTTTTCGTTGTAATTTTTCTCTGGCTCAGTTTTTGCCCGTTCAATGTTTTTTGGGTCTTTTGAGCTGTGCCGCTGTCGCAGTTACTGCCGCATATTTTCTTTTCATAATGACCAAAAACAGACGATGCGAAGTTTTGCGCAGCCTGAAATGCTTTTGAAGTTCTTTGTCGCAGCCGCGAAAAGGTGCGGGTCGAGCAGGGCTGCGGCGGAATAGAGGCAGAGCAAGGGCAATGGAAAATGACCTCGCGATGCGATGCGCTGCCCGGTTTTGTTTTTTGTCTGCCTTGCATTTTGGCCGTTTTCTACGTTGCTTTCTGGTTATTGTTGGGCCACGTTCCGGCATAAGCCAGGTGCTGCCGTTGGTTCTGCTTGCAGACTCTGCATTTTTTTGTTTTAACTTTATTTTTTATTGCATTTCAGCTGGGCTTAGCTCGCTGCTAAGTGGCAATAACAATTATGTTTTATGCAAATAGAATTTATGTTATGCATTTTTTGTTGCGCTTTTTCATTGCCATGAGCTTAAGTTTTCACAAGCTTGCGCTTACCCTACGCTGATCTACTTTTATGTTCGCATAGCAATTGGAATTTATTTGCAATTAGCCTGAGAATTCCCACAAATGATGGCCAATAACAAGAGAGCGAGAGATCTGTTATGTTGCAAGCAAGTCAAGAGTCAAGCGCCGCCAAGAGCTGGTCCAACTGGTCAGCCAAATGCAAACGACTTTGAGTTCATGAAATGGCGAACAAGACATAAAAAAATATATATAAAAAAATAAAACGAGCTGTGCTGGCAAATGCAAACAGGTACAAGACGCAGTATCGAGTACAGGCCCATGAATACTTAAGAGCTGAGGAGCTGACGCTGCCAGTTTGCCAGTTGATGCATATATAAAAATTAAAAAAAAAAAAAAAAAACCCAAACAAGGGACACTTGATGTTGCACACAACGAGTCAAACTAAATTTCAGGTTGTGGCACACACACTCAATAACATAACTTCGATATATATGTGAATATGTGAGTTATAGCTGATGCTGTTTGTATTTGTATATATTCACCTTGTGTGCGCGCCGCTGGCATGCAATTCACAATTTTGCAGTTCACAATCGACAACTGTCAAAACAATTAATTTTCTTTTTAATTTTAGTTACTGCACATACACAAACACACACAGTCACAATTTATTTGCATTAAGCACATGTCGTATTTTATACTGATGTATTTCTTATTATTTATATTCTACTTGTATTTGGCTAATACGAGTTAATTCTGGTTTTCATCCACACGCCACATGCAACATGCAACCGTTCGAAACGCGTTTGCAGCACAAACTGAAACTGTTTCTGGTTTCTGCTGCTGCTGTTGCCGTTGTCGACGTTCAAGTTGCCATTCCCGAACGTTTCGCATTCGTCAGCCACTTCGTCGGGCTTTCGTTCTCTTGCCATCGGCTGCGTGTCAAAGACAACAAACCAGTATTTCTGTTCACTCTCGCAGCTGGCAACGCTGCCCGCGTTTGGGCCATGTTACTGGGTACACTTGCCGGCTTTTTGTTTAACAGTTGTTTACGTTGCAGCGCGCAGGCGTTTGGCCCCGCCAGCTGTTAACTTCAATTGTCCACTGTTAAGGCACTGGCAGAATATGTTCCTGCATCAACTACCGACTGCGAGCTGTTTAGTGCTGGCATTGCATGTTGGCCAATCCAAAGGCTTATGTTTACACTGAAAACGTAATGCCTCCCCTTAATATGTAGCTGAAGAGCTCCATTTGCCCTCCGCTGCCAGAGCCACATTCATTCCTCTACTCAATTAGCACAGTTGCTCAGTTGCTTTCACACGCGCACTCTCAATTTCACAACGAAAAAGCACATAAATCTAGTGCACAGCACATAAATCCTTAGCCAAAACCTCACACTGTCAGGCAAACCCTGCCCATGTCCATATGGCAATGAGCACTACGAACTAATCGAGCAACGGGTAAAAATAAATTGGAAAACAAAAGGCTATACTGATGACCGCAGGGCTAAGTGACAAGCTCTCAGATCTATGGGCAATAAATTTTTAATACGGACTGCAGAATGGACTGAAACAGATCTTTGTTTAAGGTCAGCAAGAGCTTAAGTATAGGTACGATGATTCTTTCTATAAGCCAAGAAATGTGATCCAAGAAATGTCGTACAAGTTTGTAGAGTTAACACATAATTCAAACAAAAACGGTGTGTTCTTTATCTTTCATTATACAACCAAATATAGATGTAAACAAAATTATATTTTTCGATTTTAATTCTTGATTAATAGGCAATATATATTACAAATTAAATATATATATGAGCGTGGTTTAATAATATTAACGTTGGTTTTAGCAACATGTCTACCTGAACCAAGTACAGACTAGCTTTATTTTCCACTTATCTTTTTATTAAATACACCGTCTGCTCAATACATAAAAACTACGAGTATATTTTTGCGAGCAGCCTGTTTTGAGTTGTTTAATCTGACTCTTAAGGATTATCGCGAGTCAATTGCATCTAATTGCAACATTCCCACTCAATGGTTGATTAATAAATATATGGATATATTTCTTTACATAAAATATTTATTGATATTGTTCAATCAGAACATAAAATTAAACTGTGTGTGATTAAAAATATTTTTATGATAATTATTGTGACGGATTACTAAACGGAAATATAAATTGCGCAGCGCGTTTAGTGGCACGCAAATCAATTGCTATAAATCAAAGCAACCCGTTCCTCTGAGCAACACACGCAAATCGAGCAAATGGAAAACGTGCGGCATTTAAATATTTACGAGTATTTTCATGCAGATTGAATGGGAAACGCTGGCTGATTAATTTGTGGCCAAGTCGAGTGATTGGCCATAAAAAGGAAATCATTAGGCATTAAGACATGTGCATAATTTATGCGCAAATTAATAATGGCACGTAGCCAATCATTTGAATGCCATTTAATTAATTTCGCCACAAACTCCCACACACACACACACACACACAAGTTTCAGACAGCTTCAATTACGTATTGCGCGTGTCTCAACAGACTGTTGTGCGTTCATATGTTTTGCCAGCCATCAAAACTGAAACTATGCACATTGCCGGGGCAAGTTAAGTTAAGGAGAGGACATAAGCCACTGGAGCGGTAGCCATGACGAAAATACTTCCAAGCGGTTACGTACATTCATCAATGAAATCAAATAAATATATCGTTTGAGCCCAGGTAAGAGTTGGATAAGGGCCAGGTGGCTGGCACAGCAGCTTAAGCCACTGTGCCCCGCTGCGATGCACGCATATAAATAACCAATGATGCGGCATTTATCTGGATACGACTTACAACGGCCCCACAATCAGTCTCAGCTTACGAGCCAGCAGCAAAGCAGGCAGCAGTAGCTAAACGGGCCATTGAAACTGAAGACGTCCATTGTTGGCCCGGCTCTTCTCCTTACTGGGGGCTAAAAGGGATAAACGTTTAGCATGGCCTGCACGATTTTTATACCCTGAACCGAGTGAAACTGGCCAAGAAAGGGTATATTGTTTCAGAGCAATTGTACATAACAGACTACATATATATATTTTATATATGCTGGAGTATTATTATTGAGTATTATTGACTGCAGTTAATATGAACTCTTCGATCTAGAGACTTCAAATTGGAATTTAGTTTCTCCTATTCAAACCATGGAACAGTTCGACAACTATAGATTTTCAGTCAAGGTTTACCTGACCTAAAGGCAGCAAATGTATGATAGCATAGCCTTGATCTTTGCTTTATGCATACGGAAGTACAGGGCATCTTCTAGTCAGCCAACCTCAACTGGAGCACCCGTTACTTGTTATGTAAGGCATGTTTTTGTTGTTGCTGCTACTCGCTTTACCGCCCACAATCTCTCGCTCACTCTCTGCTTTGGTCCTGCTCGTGTGACTGTTTCGCGTCATTTGCTCTGATCCCAGTGGTAATTTTGTGGGCCGTGCCCATTGGCCCGCCCACATTTCAACTGTAACGCAACACGCTGGACAGCAGTCGAATTTCATTTGATTTGACGCAACATCGTTTCTGCCTTTGTGACTTGCTGGCAGTGTCTAAAGTTGTCAAAAAAGAAAAAACCTAACTAAACTAACAATAAGTGCCAAAAGGCTGTGCAACAGCAGCAGCAGCAGGAGCAGCAGCTCGACAAGCTCAACAGCTATGCAGCTGCCACACCTGGCAGCAGCCCAACTCTGGTTGCTGTTGGCCCTGGCCCACTTGAGCGTTGCACAATGGCGCTTGGCAGCTTGGCAGTGTGTTAGTTTGTCAAAACAGAATATCGCTTACCAAGTCGTTTGGCAATTTTTCTCAATTTTCACATAGAAACCGAAAAATACCCGAGCATCGGGCATCGAAAGGCTGCGAAATTGCATCTGCAAGTGCTTTCGTCTTGGCAGACTCGCAGCACGCTGACTTGATGTTTGGGCATCCAATTCGAAGTGCACGTCTCCTTGGGGAAGCGGGCGTCCAAAAGCGAAGAGATTTTCACATACACACACACAGGCACAAACATACACGCACAGACCGAGTCGGCTATTGTGCTGGTCTGCTTTGGTTCTGTTGGGGTTCGGTCTGGTCTGTTGCTGCACGATTGCTCTTTGGCGATTTGGGAGCTGGGTGCGGTGGCTAGTCACACGGACGTGCACAGAAACAAAGCACAAATTGTTGTATGTAATTGTGCGTTACTCATACACATCAACACGCGCCACACACACACACACACACACACACACACACGCTGGCTCACCTGCTGCTGCGTGCGGCGAATTCCATTGCATACTTGCCGGCGCGCGCTCGTTGGCTGTGCAAATAAAAAGTGATATACGCGCGACACTGAATGAATATTAATCGCCTTTTTTGCCCCGGCATCTGGCCATTCTGCTGCCGCTGCCACAGCCTCAGCCGCAGTCACTACCTTAATAATACCTTCAGCTTGACGCCAGCTTTGGCCCAGCTGCTTGGCTGATTTGGCAGCTTAAATGATTTCCGCCAACGTTTCAATGTGTGCGTGTATGTGTGTGTGTGTATGCTTAGCTGGATATATCAGTAAGTATGTGTGATTTGTTGAATTTGACAAAATTTATTAGTTTCAGCGCCAGCCTATTGTTTATCGTGTGGGTAGCAAAGCTTCGCTTGTTTTCACAGTCCTTTCAAATACTTGGCCAACATTTTATTGAATTTCGTTTTATTCGTCTGCCATTTTGTGTAAATTGCTTTTAGTCTCTGACCCGAACGAGCAGCTTTTTAACGGCTGTTAAATTCAACACTTTTTTGTATAAATTTACAGCTCCGAGTTAATTCCACGCACAAAGAAAACGGCGGCGATCATAAAATGGGCTGAGGTGTCCTTTTTGCGCAACACTCATGCGAAACACAACATGTTTTACTTATTATGTCCCCCTTCTCGGGGGAGCACAGCTTGTCAAGAGGGTTAAAAGCCGGACCCCTTCCCTAACCACCTCCCTCCCCCAGCGTTTCACAAGTAGTTCGCACCTTTGTGTGGCTTCGACGCTCGGCAAACAAATTTTTGGGCAATTCAATTTGGGTTTTTCATTTCACACTGGTTTTTTAATGAATTTTCTGTTTTGGAAACTCTTGCAGAACGGGGCAGTCGCATTAAATTTCAGCAGAATCGCCGGAGCTAAAGGCAGAGGTGTCAACTGCTGCCAGAGTTGTTGACACCTTCGTTTGGCCAGTGTAGTGTGTAGCACTTGGACAGAGTTGCCGTTGTGGCAGACAGTTTTTGCCGTGTTGCCATCAAATTTATAGTTAATTTTCAATTCAGCTGAACACGTTTGAATGAATGGATTTTGTGTTTTGAACAGCAACTGTGGGTTGGGCGTTCAGGTGGCAATGTTATGTCAAAGCCAAACTTCGCAGACAACAAAAGCTCAGAGGGCAGACAGCCGAGCACACAGTAGCGCCACCGTGGAGGGGGCTTCCCGGCTGCTATTTAGCGAACGGAAGTTTTGCCCGCAGCTGGATTTGGGCAAGTTTTGTGTGAGTTTTGTGCTCAGCTAATTGCAACCCCTCCATAAGCTTGCCAAAGCTACGCCTGTGTGCCGCAGTGTATGTGTGTGTGAGTGTGTGTGTGTGTGTGTGTGTGTGAAAACGCAAATAAAAATGCACAACAAAACTAATCTGCAAGTGAACCCGATGAACAGCACACACGCACACATTCACGTGCATACACAGTCAGACACACAAGAGCAATTTGTTTGCGGCACACACTATTGTTGCATTATTATTGTTTGCTGGCTGCGTCTGGCTTGGTGGCTGCCCCCCTCCCCCCTCCCCCTGCTGCACGCCCCTGCCCAGACAAGTCCTTGGTGAAGCTGCGTTGTTGCGACAGTTGCAGCAACACGCAGCACATGTTTGCCGCCTTGTCGGGCCGCGTTGCCACTTTATCCTAACTCGTTTTGTCCATTTTTTTTTTGCAGGTTGTGTATATATATGTGTGTGTGTGTGTGGCCTGTCCTTGCGGTGTATTTAACCTGTCTGCTCGTTGGATTACGACAACTCAGCCACGGTTAGACAAACACACAGACAGAGGGAGACAAACAAACAACAACGCATGTATCTATTCATATGTCACTTTGGTGCATGCCTGCCTGCGTGTGTATGTGTGTGTGTGGGTGTGAAGGTGTGTGTGACTATACAGTGGTAATGCAATACGCATGCAATGTGCCACATACACCGCAACCCCGCAGACGCGTGCCTGCCACAGCCGCAGCTGATACTGCGACTGGTGCTGGGCTCCACTTCTTTAGCAGACATTTTAACGCTTATTTTAGTTTTGGCTACGCTTCCGGTTACACACTCACTCACACACACATTGCACAAGCGTCGACGTCGACGTCGCATTGCGTGTTCTTTTCCAGCTCAATTGCATTTCACACTTAGCAGTTGGCAGCGATTCCCTTCGGCTTTGACTGCCAGGCGTCAACTTTGTGGCCTCCCCTTATAAGTTACCCGCCTTTCAGACCCAACCATTAGTCAACTAGGTTTGGCATTTGGTATTGAATGCAGCTTTATATTTTATACAATTTCAACTATCTGATTATATACATATTTATGAGCATTTGTCTTGCGGTTTCGTCGCATTTCTTGAAAATCCTGCAAGACAGCGTTTATAAAATAACACCAGAAACCTAAGCAAATATGATACAAAAGATTATTCATTGCGTGCTAAAAGTGCTCCAGTCGAGTATGCCCGACTGACAGATGCCATGTGCCCAACTCCAAATAGATTTAAACGTAATTTCCACATTTAAAACCTACTTTCTCCCAACATTACATTGGAATTGGAAGATAATTTCTTAAATAAATGCTGTATATATTTTCCTATTTCTATAAACAGTTTAGATGATTCAGAAAGACGTATAGAGAAAATTAAATTATCTGCATTTGGTTAAATTCAAAATGTGATTTATGATGATGTAGGAGCTAGCTACAGTCTTCTAAGATCGACGCTCTTTAATATACGGAAAATAATAACCAGTAACAGATCTACATGACATTGTCGACTGTGCTGTCAAATGTGGAATTGCTTCTAATTCTTTTTAATGGGCACAAGGTACAAAAGAAAACATTTGTAGTCAGCCCACCTGATATGGTGTAAAGCAACGAAATGATCAGCAGGGAATGTTTCGTATAGCGCAGTATGTGGAACCAATAGTATAGACTTTTATAGACTAAAGCATATACAAAAACAGCAGCGATAAGCAGCCAAGGCGTAAAGTACCAGCGATTACACTACGAAAAAAAAAGGCGCAATTTTTAAGAAAACATATTTCATGGAAATACAAATTGATATCCAACTCACTTTAATGGAACCCACAAATAGCAGCAAGCTGGCAAAAACCTGCAGCAGACATATATGATTCATAAACAGCTGATCTGTAATTTCCTTATCTAATTAATTTGTTATCAGTCTAGGCAAGGGCTTAGCACATTTACCCTGCTTGTGTTGCAGACCCTCCACGAATACAATGACTACCATTGAGACGATCAGGGAGAGCACCGCAATTCCAAGGCGTGCGTTTCTGCTCGAGCACCTGAGACACATTTCACAGAGCGCGCTTTGAATAACCGAACCTAATTCGGGCAACACACTTTAAGAACTGAACGATATTGCGACACAAATCGTTGCTGGAGGTACTGACGCATAAATTATTATTACTATGTGCTCCTTATCAAAATGAAATGCAAATGAGTTTTTTAATGCCACATATAAAATATTTGCAATATATATTTTTACAGGAAATAACATGAATGAACAGTCATCTACATTCTGCAAAAATTGCTATATATTGCCCAGCACAGTGAGCTCGAGCCTAATTGTGTTTGATAATTAGAAATATGAAAAGTACAACCAACTTTCAAGTATATATAAATTGAGCTAATGTAAATTTCATTAGAGAGCAGGGTACCTTGGAGAGAACTTCAAAAATGCCGCTAATGCCTTGACTATAACAATGCATGTGAAAGTTTTAATTTCTCTTTTTTTGCCAAGAATGTAAAGTGATTGAAGTGTGCCTGAACGCAGAATATGTGAAAAGTTTTGCCAAAATGTCGGTATACGACATAGTGCTTGGGATAGGAGCTACATACGCTCACATACACACACACACACAACTAAACACGCACGCATAGCATAAGTGGGAGGCAAACGCGTTTCGCGTAAATTAGCCAAGTGTAGACTTCATTAAGTAGCGCCAGTAAATTAAGTGCTAATGTTGAAAGTTTTGACCGCCAAAGTGCGCATTGCAATGTAGTTGTTGTTGTTGTTCGCGCCATGCTTCCGGCGGAAACAGTCAACAGCAGCAACCGCAACAACAGCAGCAACAGCAGCAGCAGCAGCAACGACTCTAAATTGATGATGTAGCCCAGCGAAAATTGCACTCACTTTCTTCAGTAGCTCGGGGCTTGGTACTTTCTTTTGGGTAGCTGCCTGCTCCTGGTTCGTGGTTCGTGTGCCACGCAGTCTGCAAATTTTTAATGCTTTAATCTTGATGCTAATAAATCTTGAAGTTGCTGGCACTTTCGCATTACTTTCGGGCCGGGCCAAAGGGTTGCTCTCAACGGAGGTGGGGCCAAATACAATTAGACAGCTGCACGCTTAACAGTCTTAGTTTAAGCCAATTTGAATGCACTTTACCAGGCAACGACCAGCTACCTTCAAATCTACCAGCCAGCCCCATCTCCTGGCAGCTCTTCTTTCTCTAGCTGTTGCTGGCCCCGCCCCGATTGCTCGTAATTACAACTGACGCTCAAAATGTGTGAGCTATGTGCAAATTGACGCTGACAGTTTGGCAGGGTCGGTTTTACTAATCGAATTGCAAGTAGCTTCGTGCGTGCGCCTCTACCATTGATTAGCCATGTTTTTGTAATTCATTTACTCTATGGGCAAAAAGAATGTAATAGTTGTAGCCAACTATGTAACAGGTAGAAGAAAGCATTTCCGACTAGAGAACTCTTGTTTTTATAAAATAGTACAACATTTGCCAGCAACGCAACATTCGCCAATCGCGCAATATTTAAGAAATAAAATTAAAGTTTTCTTAATCTAATTTGAATGTAAGCAACAGCCGCAGCAGAAGTGGTAGAAACTGTTATAGTTCAAGCACAGTAGGACAAAATGCTTCACAGTAGCTGATAAAAGCTGTTGAAAAATTATTTTGTTTATTTAAGAATAATAATAATAATGCCCAATGCGGCATATGCGTTTCTTTACTTAGATAATAGCGTCAAGTTTCTAACGATAAGCAAAAACTAAATGAGATCAAAAATTCTGATATAAAATATTTATAAAGAAATTCTGTAGGATTCGATAAGAACGTACATTTAATTAAATTTTAATTTACTAAATTATGTGTCAAGTTTAATTAATGTCACAGAAGTAAAGTATTCATATTATCTTACCAACAAACACTTCCTATGTCAAGTAGAAAATAGTCTGAATAGAAAATAGTCTGAATTCCCAAACTTGACTTGTTGGCCCACTGTGCGTTTTGGTCGCGCTGTCAGCAGCAGTTGGCAGCTGACATTGTGGCTGGGCGAGGTTGCTTTTTTTCCCCTTTGCGGTTTTGTGGCCAGAAATGGAGCTCAGCGTTGTGACACACAACTGTCAAAGTGGCTCGTGACAAATTTGTTATTAGCACAAGGCAAAGAAGGCTTCAGGCTGACAGCTCCGTGGCTGGCATGTTCTGGCTTACTTGTTTTATTAACTCCGAATTTATAGCCAGCCATTAGGCGCTGCGAATTAATCAAATTTTTTATTTGCCGTTTGCTCACAAAAATTTAACAACATAAATTTGTATTTAAAAATGAGTTAGCTACGCAGCTTGTGCTGCGTTGTTGTTTTTCGTTGCTTTTGCGCAGCTTTCAGTCAATTTCACGCCGTCTCACCTGCCAAATGAATGCCATTTTTCTTGCCGGCATCTTATTATGTAAGAATTTGTCATTTTCGAGCATGACTCGACTAGATGAAATGCAATTTAGCCTAGCAAGAGGCATTTTAATGTTCTTATTTAATGTTCGCTTTAAAAAAATAAAACAACAACAACAAACAAACAACAAAAATGCGCCCATTGAGCCATGCTGCCTGAGCTCATCAAGTGAAACTTTGTCCAGAGCAGGCACCATATGTTCTTGGCCAACTGAATAGCCAGAGTCCGGAGCCGGGTGCTTACTTGACTGGCTGTGAGCTGTTTTATGCCCAGCACAAAAAGTGCAAAAATATGTTGCACATAAATTTGTATTAAGTTTGCCGCTGTCACTTTTTCGTTCGCCTAAGCAATGTGGGCAGACAGCATAACGACATAATCATAAATTTAAATATGCAACCCCCACCATTTGTACTTCTGTAAGTATGTTGGGTTACTCTGCGCCCTTCACCATTCCACACACTTTACATTTCTTGCCAAAATAAAAAAAAGGAAGAGAATCCAAGGGCCGAGAGAAAAAAAAAACCCAACCTTTACAGTGACAGTTTCACTTTGCCTGGCATAAGGAATTTCAGCTGCTGCCGCCACACACACATGTTGCCTCCTGCTTTATGCGTGCTAAATGAACTTGTCTCGCATGGATGGAGACGTGGAATTCGGTTTGGAGCCGAGATGGGTGGCTAAGTGCCACAGGCCTGGCACACGATGGCAAACCCCTAGCTAAGTACACTAAAAAGAAAACTGTTGACCAAGTATTATCTTTTTAGAATGCTAATTTACAGTGCTTTCCTTGGAAAACTTTTGCCAAAGTTCGATATGTCTAAGGATAATCAAGACAAAGTATTCACCATCTACAAATGATTTTCTTATAATATGAAGTAAAACTCCATAAAATAATAAATATCAAACGATAACAATGAGGAGTCAATGAGTTTATGTAATTATATGTACATATTTAAAGAATTTACTTTGCAAAAAATCTATCTCTATATATAAAACTGTTTGTCCTGTCTGACTGACATGTAAAAAATGGTACCCTCAAATATCCTATATAGGCATAGGTTCACATTTCCTACCCTCGTTATAAACTCAAACGATTTGCATAAGATTCGGCTTTTTGTTAATAGTTTGACCTCTAGATTCATGTTAAGATGGTACCCTCAAATATATGGACATAGTTCGATCCGATTTTCTATAAAAGGGCGTCCAATCCCCTGGAAGACTAAAGAGGCAGACTTTTATAGGCACGCAAACCAGTTAATTGTATCAAAGTGAAGTCTGATTTCATTGTCTTTTCTGTAAAAAGATTTAATAATTTAAATGCCATAAGAAGCTTGTGTCCAATTTCAATATTTTATGCGAATTAAATGTAATTGCTGAAGCATAATATTGCGTACGCACCTTTTTAGGACAGTCCCAAAGTTTTGGGCGAAATATCGATAGTAAATCGAGCTAAATGTGTTCTTACCTGCAGCTGAGCTCAAGCATTCAACCTTTTCTGTTCGATACTATATATGTGCATGTTTATGTATCAGCCACCTCCCTTTTTTGGGCAAAGATTTCCCAATACATAATCCCCAAGCAATGACAAAAACACCGTAAAATGCTTTGCAAATAAGCCTACGCAGGGCACAACAACAAACAAACTATAGGCCAAATGCCTTGTAATAGATTTAAGGGCAGAAAAGCAGCCCAAAAAGTAGCATTAGTTTATTAGAATGTGTATGTGTGAGTCTGTGTGTGTTTACGTTTCTGTGTATGTGTGTGTTTGAGTGGGTGTGCAGAGCTTTAATAGTCGGGTAACAAAATAAACACAGTGCTTACACAATAACCAAGAATATCTGTGCTGCCATTGTGTTTAGAAAAATATTTAAATGGGAAATCTGTGTGGGCAGACGGACGAAAGGTTTCCAGGCTCTGTTTCTGTTACGCTTGTAAAACATACAAGGTGCTTCCGGAAAGGATGCGCAAATATAATGTCTGTAAACAATTTTTATTGCTTTCTGCACGAGAAAACCAACTCGAACTGTAGAGCTCAAACATCAAGACGCTAGCAGATTTGCTTAAAAGTAAAAGTTGTTGATAGAAATCACAAAACACAATAACATAAATTGCAAAATGTGACAAAGGGTTGCCAGCCAGGGCACGCACTCCCCCCTAGAGAGTGCCAGACATTGGGTCAGCCTGCCAAGATATAAATAACGAGGAAAAAAAAAACTAAAGGAAAGAATGCCTGTCTACATCATGTCGAAGTCTTAATACCCTAATAGACGGAAGTACTTCTAAGCAACAGACTTATTTCCAATCAATTGTTACTATACGAACTATGTGATATATTAGACCGATTTGATACGGGTATGCATATATATATAAGAGAAATAAAAAGGAAAGGTTTTCAAAGTAAGTTTTCTATATAAAACAAGTTTTTGGAACAATTTCTTCTAAAGACCTATATGACATAGTAATCCGAAGTTGATAAGACACTTTTATAGACATATAGCATGATAAAACTACATATCATATAATGATCAGCCCGAGATCGAAATATATGCCGCCTGCATCAAGACAGACTAATGCAAAGTCCCATGACCAAGAGACACGTTGGCCTAGTAGCAGTGAAGCGGAGTGCTTTAAAATTCATGACAAAAT